AGAGAGCGCTGAAAATCCACTGCACCAAAATGGGCTGTTCAGCGAGCCAACAACAGGCAACACGCACAAGGCAAGACGGAGGAGGAACCAAACCAGGACTCAAACCACAGTATTGGGAGCTTCCAAGAGCCGGTCAAGGGAAGCACAGACAGCACAGAGAGGTTAGGTGGACCGAGGCCTATCAGAAAGCAGTCAACAGCTGGAAGGAAACAGAGGCTACATTGACCTAAGAGAGCTGACAAGAACAGCTGGACACAGTTCGACACCAACACAGACATGGTGCTGGAGATTACCCTTGCCAGGAGCGCAGAAAGGAAGTTAGAAGCCCTCACTGCGATCGTGTACAACATGGGACAGCAGAGGTTTGGGATCCATGCCATAAAAGCGGCACGTACAGTAAAACAACTGAGCAAGCAAGAGAGGGAGATAGCGGCAGTAAGAGGAGACCTGAAGAGACTAAAGAAGAGGTACAGAGCAGCAGAGGAAGAGGAGAGAGCAGAGCTAGAAGAACTAAGAGACACCCTAAGACAACTATGCAGTCTGAAGCGAGCAGAAAACCACAGCAGGAATAGGAGGGAGAGAGCCCTTAAAAGGACGGAATTTACATCTAACCCCTACAGGTTCACAACCAAGCTGTTAGGGGACAAGAGGAGCGGAAGACTGCAATACCTGAAGGAGATGGTGGAAGACCACCTGAAGAAAATGAATAGCAACCCACTCCGAGACCAGGATCTTGGAGAATGTAGCAAGCTTCTTAAACCCCCTGAACCGCAGGTGGAATTCGACATAGCAGAACCCAGGCTGATAGAAGCGAAAGGCATCATCAGGAAGGTTCGTGCAGGATCATCACCAGGACCAGGAGGGATCCCATACCAGGTCTATAAGAACTGCTCAAGGTTAACAAAAAGGCTCTGGAAGCTGTTGAGAGTTGTGTGGAAGAAGGAAAGAATGCCGGAGGGATGAAATACGGCAGAGGGATGTGTCATCCGGTTGAAGGTGGAATCCACACCGATCTCTCAGTTTCGCACCATATCTCTTTTTACGTGGAGGGAAATATTTTTTGGGCAATAATAGCAAGAAGGATGACAAACTTCATGCTGGAAAACAAGTACCTGGATACATCAGTGCAGAAGGGAGGAATCCCGGGAATATCAGGGTGTCTTGAACACACTGGAGCACTAACACAGATACTTAGTGAGGCGAAAGAGAACAAAGGGAACCTAGTTGTCCTGTGGCTTGATCTTACCAATACATACAGCTCCAAACCACACAAACTGGACACTTTGACAATGCAGAAATACCATGTGCCAGACAAGATTCAGAAGCTCCTACAAGACTACTTTGACGAGTTCAGCATGAGATTTACCGTCAGAGACTACACCACCGATTGGCAGAGGCTGGAGATGGATATTGTACAACTGGTGACAATCCCCGTGATCATCTCTTTGTCAAGTCAGCTGAAAGACCAAGCAGAGGATAAATCATGAAGTCCAATGTACGACAACCACCAATGCAGGCTTTCATGGAGCGCGATCAGCAATAGAAGGAAGATGGATGCTTGAAGATCTGCAAAGACTCATCATGTGAGCTAGGATGACCTTCAAACCCAGCAAATCACGAAGCCTGGTATTAAAAAAAGGCAAAGTGTATGACAGTACCTGGTTCAACGTGGAAGGGCAGTGCATTCCAACACTGACAGAAAAACCAGTCTAAAGCCTTTGGAAATGGTTTGACGACTCACTTGAAATCCCATTGAGACCGGTAGAGGCTATGGCAAGGAAGATCAGTGGCTCCCTTAGAAGATGGCTTGGAGTGCCCCAATGCAGCATTAACCTCTACATCAGGGGGACAAAGTTACAACTGCCATTCCGAGGCATGACTGAGGAGTACCAAGTGACCAAAGCAAGGCAGGTCATGCAGAGATTAGAAAGTAAGGACTGCTGGGATTGAGGTTCGCACTGGGAGGAAGTGGTCAGCAACATCAGCAGTGAAGGAGGCAGAGGGCCTTGGCTGTCAAGTGTCCTAGTAGGGAGCAAGCAACCGGGATAGACGGGACCTTGTGTAGACAGAGATAAGGCACATGGCGGAGGAGGGAAGGCAAACGAGCAGTTGGGATGAGGCAGCAGGGCAATTGGACACGCTGGGAAGGAGCCAGAGAGAGGAAGATAACATGGGCCGACATCCGGATGATGGAGGCGAGCAAAATAAAGTTCCTTCTCCTCAGTGTGCACGATGTACTACCAAGCCCAACAAACCAAGACCCAAACTGCACGTTGTTTGGAAAACCAGCCAATCTCGAGCACATACTATCATCCTGCAGGAAGGCACTGTCAAATGGAAGGTACAGGTGGAGACACGACAAGGTCCTGACAGCAATAACATCCCAGCTGGAAGAGGAACTCAGAAAGACCAGTCTTCATCCGTTTTGTCAGGAGCAGGGAAAAATCATCTGGCACCCATGAAAGTAGCATAAGACTAAAATTGAGCTTTTTGGCCATCAAGGAAAATGTCTGGCCCAAACCCATCACTGGTGGCAGCATCATGCTGTAGGGATGTTTTTCATCGGCAGGGACTTGGAAACTGATCAGAATTGAAGGAATGATGGATGGCGCTAAATACAGGGAAATTCTTGAGGGAAACCTGTTTCAGTCTTCCAGAGATTTGAGACTGGGACCTTCCAGCAGGACAATGACCCTAAGCATACTGCTAAAGCAACACTCGAGTGGTTTAAGGGGAAACATTTAAATGTCTTGGAATGGCCTAGTCAAAGCCCAGACCTCAATCCAATTGAGAATCTGTGGTATGACTTAAAGATTGCTGTACACCAGCGGAACCCATCCAACTTGAAGGAGCTGGAGCAGTTTTGCCTTGAAAAATGGGCTTATAGAGACATACCCCGAGTGACGCAGTGGCGCTGTGCCACTAGAGATCCTGGTTCGAATCCAGGCTCTGTCGTAGCCGGCCGCGACCGGGAGACCCATGGGGCGGCGCACAATTGGCCCAGCGTCGTCCAGGGTAGGGGAGGGAATGGCCGGCAGGGATGTAGCTCAGTTGGTAGAGCATGGCGTTTGCAACGCCAGGGTTGTGGGTTCGATTCCCATGGAATATGAAAGTATGAAAAAAAAAAAAAAATAAATAAAAAAAAAAAAATGTATGCACTAACTGTAAGTCGCTCTGGATAAGAGCGTCTGCTAAATGAGACTAAAATGTAAATGTAATACCCCAAGAGACTTGCAGCTGTAATTGCTGCAAAAGGTGGCTCTACAAAATATTGACTTTGGGGGGGGGGTTAATAGTTATGCATGCTCAAGTTTTCAGTTTTTTTGTCTTATTTCATGTTTGTATCACAATAAAAAATATTTTGCATCTTCAAAGTGGTAGGCATGTTGTGTAAATCAAATGATACAAACCCCCCAAAAATCCATTTTAATTCCAGGTTGTAAGGCAACAAAATAGGAAAAATGCCAAGGGGGGTGAATACTTTCGCAAGCCACTGTAATTGCTGTGCATCACTATCGTGCTAGGAAGGTTCACAGTTTTTGACACAGAAAAGACCAAGCAATGTTGATTGATAGCTGGTTAAATGTCATGTTTAATGTTTGGAAGAACACATTGGTAATTACCAAAAACAGATTACAAAATATGTGCAAAGAAAAAGGTAAATTATATTCAAATGTTCAACATAATAAATATCTGAAATATTGATTGAATAGGTTATATCTATAATATCTATATCTATGATATATCATTTTTATGTTCATGAGACTCCGAGTATCACCATGTTGTGCTTTAGGCCCCCGATCTGACTCCATTGGTGGTAGTGTGTTACAATATCATCCACTGAAATAATTAATATTTTCAATTAAATCCACCCTGAATATGCAACCAAAGCATTTAGAGAACACAACTGAACTCACACATACTACCCTGTATACCAGGGGTAGGCAACTAGATTCAGCCGGGGGCCGATTTTTGTCGGAGAGGATGGTTGGGGTGTTGGAAATAATTATAATAATCTGTACACTGCAAATACATAATAAATATCTGAAATATTGATTGAATAGGTTATATCTATAATATCTATATCTATGATATATCATTTTTATGTTCATGAGACTCCGAGTATCACCATGTTGTGCTTTAGGCCCCCGATCTGACTCCATTGGTGGTAGTGTGTTACAATATCATCCACTGAAATAATTAATATTTTCAATTAAATCCACCCTGAATATGCAACCAAAGCATTTAGAGAACACAACTGAACTCACACATACTACCCTGTATACCAGGGGTAGGCAACTAGATTCAGCCGGGGGCCGATTTTTGTCGGAGAGGATGGTTGGGGTGTTGGAAATAATTATAATAATCTGCACACTGCAAATTGACCACAACTAAGCCCAAAAAGAGATTGTATTTGAAAATAACAATCATTTCATACATTGATTACATTGAGACACGATCCCATATAAAAAAACATATTTGTGGGAATACTTGGGAACAGATTTCCTAAGATGTTAGGTTTTTTGCTGAATTCCAGGTGATTTGACCAAAAACAAAAATCACCAGAAAATATTTATCTTTCACAATAAACTTTTTGGGGGGCAAAAAAAATCACTCGCATGCCAGTTTTGACCCACAGGGCACCTGTTGCTGAATCCTGCTGTATACAGTGCCACTCATGCATTTGAGGACACAAATCAAATCAAATTGTATTGATCACATACACATATTTAGCAGATGTTATTGCGGGTGTAGCGAAAAGAGTAACTGACTAGTTGCAGAGGGAACACACTGCATCAGCGAAACCTTACTTACTTTAACACAGTGAAGTTCCCTTAGCCTTGTTTCACACATTTCAGTTGCACTGTTTAGAAATTGCATAAGATGACCATACAACCATCGATTGTACCCTTTCACTGTTGCTCCACAGTTCATTGCCCCTTCCCATCCATCTCCCCCTTCCCTCCTCCCAGTCCCTCCCCCCTCCTCCCATCTTTCCTTCATTCTTTCTTCTCCTCTGTCGTTGTCTCCTTTTTCTCAAAGGGTGTGTGGACGAGTTTCTCAGGCTTGTATTCCATGAAGAAGTCGTTGCAAGCCACCGTTAAGGCTCCCATCAGGATGATGAACTCTGTGAAGTCCACCTCGCCGTCGCTGTTGGCGTCCAGATCAGTCATCACCTTCTCAACCCCTTCTCCATCGCGGGCGTTCTGGATTAGAAGAGGGAGAGGGGGGAGGGGACGGGAGGTTAGTGTATGTATGCGTCTGTGTGCGTATTCTATTCAATACATTTATTTTGTCTGCCTGTGAGTGTTTGTGTGTGTGTGTTTTCGTGTGTGTATGTGTGTATGTATGTTTGCGTGTGTGTCTCTGTCTCCCTCTCAGTGTGTACACTCCTCTTACCCCTAGGTAACTCCCCAGCTCCTCTGTTAATAGCTCTCTCAGCTCTCCTCGGCTCAGAGTGTACTTATCCCCCTCCTTCCCCGAGTACTTGTGGAAGGTTTTGATCAGCATCTGCATGGCATTCTCCAGGTTGGAAGAGGGTTCCTTGGACATACTGGAGGGAAGGGCAGAGGGCAGAGGTCAGACACTATGACAGGATGCACGCTCCATCCCAGCCGCATGTGCGGTCACATGACGAACATGGGTGTGAAGCCTCCACCAAGACAGAGTGAAACATACATGCCGGACGGAAGAATATCAGTAAACTAGAGGAGGTGTCCCAATTCTAGGCCTAGGTTACTATATGCAAAGTTTAAATTACAGGCCACAAATGAGCTATTCCTTCTCGACATACAGTGGCCACTGGACAGTGTTTTGTTACCTTAATTGGTTTGACATGTGAAAGATGTGAGGGATAAGAGATGAAGAGACGGCTTTTGAAAAGCAACAGTCTTACACACATTGTGTCCGGCATCTTGGAATCTTCTTGAGTTGGTTTCGCTGGAGAGACTGTGCACACACAGACACAGATAGGTCATTGTCAAGGACACTGACTCACATAGTAGTTAGGGTGAAAAGCCTTCAACATGGTTAGAGTGAACACACCAAGAATTTCGTCACTTCTCTTGACATTATACATATTTTTCCAATTCTAACATTGTGAGAGGGTCCATTTTCTATCTTTCTCAGTTGACAGACTTGTAAGCTGCTTGTTAAGTAAAGATAACGTCACTGAGGTAACTTGAGATGGAGGTCTCAGGGTTTCACAATTATATTGATCATGTAACAGTGACAGAAGGAAACCGCAAGTAAAACACAAAACTGTTAGAACGCAAATAAACCACCTGGCAATCACAAACAGGAGCTCAGGCCAGGTGATCCGGTAACCCGAGGTACACATGAACACATAGACACGCACACACGCACGCAGACACACACACAGAAACACATGCACGCATGCACACCCACACGCACACACACGCGCACACACACACACGCACACACACTACAATCTGGCTCTATCCATTCCAAAAGCTGAAAAATATTCCTTTGCAGATGTTCACTGTGTGCTCAATATCATTTTAATGGGAGATGGACTAAATAATCTACTGAGGAATTCTAATTTTAATCAAAAAACTGCAGCATAGATAGAAGAGTTGTTTATCTGTCACTTGGGTAGTAAAGAAAGAGAGAGTTAAGGTCAGTGAAGAGGACAGAAGAGAAGAGGACAAAAGAGAAGAAAATAGATCAGTAAAGAAAACACCACAGCTGACTGGAATGTCTATAGAGGTCAGCTGCCTCATTGACGACAGAAGACAATGGGAAACCATGGCTACCAAACTGTTGACAGCAATATATTATTGAGCCATGGAATTATTGCAGAAAAATGCTTCTCCAACACATTCCTCTGAAAGTACATTTATTTTCACCCTTTTAACAATTTCTCATTTAGACAGTTGACTATTTTGTCTTAAAATGAAGATATTTCAAATATTACCATTGAAGGAAAAAGTTAACTTACCGTCTGAGCATTAGATAGAAAAAATAACTTTTCTTCACAGGTTCTGGTCCGTCCAACTAAAACTTTTTAAACCTCATTAACAACAGGCAAACCAATTGTAGTTTGAGGAGATGAGCTCAACTTATTGCCCCATAAGTCTTATTGCTCTGGATACCAAGGTGCCCGCCGCCCTGGGTATCTTACCGTGAAAAATACCAGAGTTCCACTATTCACAAGGTACATATAAAAACATTGTTAAGCTGATCCCAGAAAACATTTATCAGTTACAGAGAAGGAGAAAGGAGGAGGCCACAACTTTCCTCTAACCTATCCATCTTACCTGATGGAGTGCTGATGGAGGGCTTCCTTTGTCTTTGGTGAAGATGGATAGAGAGATAGAGCCAAGGAAAGACGGATGAGGAGAGAGTCGGACAGCGGCTTAAATATCACCTGTCCCCTCCTCCCCTCTCCCTCCCACCTTCGTACCACCATCCCTGCGTCTATTTCTCTCTCGCTCTTTCCTCTCCCCCCTCCCTTCGTCCTCTCCCTCTCTTCTCAGGTGCTTACACATGCAGACAGGGTGCTTAACCTCAGCACACAACAGTACCATCAGGATAGATCAGAAAACAGGCTTGCGTGTTAGCATCAAAGTATTTTGTTTTATTATGGGCCGTTACACAGTGGTTACATAAATACTATTAGCGTAGCTTAGTGAAAATGATACAGCATTGCTGGTGAAGGTGTAACATTGGCATAGTGGTTCATTTGAAGTGCCTCTGTGGAGAACTTGCGTGCAACAGCATATTGTGTTGTGGTGGGATGGTCTACCTGTAAACACTCTACTTCTGTCTATTTAGTATAGTATACCACTGGAAAAGAGACCATCTCCTGGAAACTGTTATCTTGCACAAATCAGATTTGGGTTCAATTCGATTTTAACTAAGCCAATTCACAAAATTGCTGTTGACTTTCGGTGAGGATTTTGTTGGAATGGACCCAAACCCTGGTACAAAGCCTACTAATGTAGCCTATAAAGTGGCAGAGTTCTTAGAATGTAGCTCAGTTGGTAGAGCATGTCGTTTGCAACGCCAAGGTTGTGGATTCGTTTCCCACGGGGGACTAGTATAAAAAGAAAAAAAATGATGCACTCACTAACTGTAAGTCGCTCTGGATAAGAGCGTCTGCTAAATGACTAAAATGTAAAATGTAAATACATAGGGGTAGGGCACAGTGTGATAAGTCACATTTGATCAATTAGCTATAGTGTCAGCCTATTTGCGTTTAGGTTCAGTGTCAGTTTCATCATCCTTGAGTGGACACAATTCTAACACAGGTGTGCATAGTGTTTAGACTGTGGGTAACTGCAGGAGGGTACACAGCAAGCTCATGAATACAGTACAAGGTGCTAGTATATGAGGCCTATGCACATAGCCGCGGGAAGAAGTTTGGAGGTCTATAGCCTATCGGTCCACTAATACAGGACTTTTGTGAAAAAACTTTAAAAACGACATGTATTTGAGTGTTTACCAGCATTTGTAACTTGAGTCTGATAATTATCTGTACAAAACAGTTAATCTGATAATACTTGTGGAATATACAAATACTTGGATGATATATGTTTGCAAATGCAACTTATTTCTATGTGAAAACTGAAATGGTCTATTTATTCCTTTTCCATTTTAGTAGATGCTCTTATCCAGAGCAAATTATAGTAGTGAGTGCATACATTTTCATACTTTTTCGTACTGGTCCCCCATGGAAATCAAACCCACAACCCTAGCATTGCAAGCGCCATGCTCTACCAACTGAGCCACATGATCACATCACATCATCACAAACCACTTAATGACTCAATGTATTCAATTAATGTATTCTGCATTGTTTTTCTTCATGGTGATGGAAAGTCTACAGGTTCAAACCTAGATGACCAGCCTAAGTACAATACAGTAATGTACATTTACATGAAGTGGTTTGTAAGGATGGCAAATTAACAATGCACAAAACGTGGTTGTTTTCCATGTTATTTGATCAAGAAAAATATTTAATTTGATGAGGATGTTTTGTGTCTTTACCCATAACTTTGCACCTTTTGATGTAAATGTTTGAGGACAGGGTTTTGTTCTTTCTGGATTCCATTAGAATGACAATAGCAGAGAAAGGGAAAGGGCAACAACTCTTACAATTCCAACTATTGAATCCTGCAAGACACTGTTCTTAATTTTACCTTTTTTTGCCAAAGCAGAGATGCAGATTTTTTTTGCCTGCACTACAGATGTCTATATTGGTCCGCTAATACTAGTAAAGGCCGAGTGCACTATTTTTGTAAAAAAAAATAAAAAAAATAATAATAATAATACTTTTTTTATTCCGATGTTGCAGCACCCTCAGCACCTCTACTTCCCGCGGCAATGCCTATGCACATGCTGTAGCACTACCAGGAGATGTTAGCATGATGCTAACTGCAGAGGGTGCTAGTGAGTGGCATGGTTTTTCACCACAGGAGGTTGGTGGCACCTTAATTGGGGAGAATGGGCTCGTGGTAATAGCTGGAGCAGAATACGTGGAATGGTATTAAATACATCAAAAACATGGTTTCCATGTGTTTGATGCCATTTCCAATCACTCTGTTCCAGACATTATTATGAGCCGTCCTCCCCTCAGCAGCCTCCACTGTTTTTCACATAGTCAAGATCGGACAACCGTAAAGTAATGTTGTGTGTCACTGTAAAATACATTGGTTTCCTTGGCAAAGAATATTACAGTACAAAATATGCTCTTTAATTAGGTTTAGTTGAAAAAAGCATGATGAGTAAAGAATGCCAGATGAGCCTTTGCTTTCCTAAGTTTAAATGAATCATGCAAGCAGTGCAGCATGAGCATTGCGCAGAGCGCAAGAGTGTAGTAAAATGCTTGGATAAGCAAAGGGAAGACTATTTACAAGTGTCAAAGTGTGACATTTTGACCTCATTACATGTTGTTCTCACTAGTAGATTTTACAACCTCTCTATTTCACTGAAGGGTTTGAAGCTCAACCTGTCATAATAAACAAACTATGTATTTATACAATGCCTTCAGAAAGTAGTCACACCCCTTGACTTTTTCCACATTTTGTTGTGTTACAGCCTGAATTTAAAATGGATTCAATTGAGATTTTGTGTCACTGGCCTACAGACAATACCACATAACGTCAAAGTGGAATTATGTTTTTACACATTTTTACAAATTAATTAAAAATGAAAAGCTGAAATGTCTTGAGTCAATAAGTATTCAACCCCTTTGTTATGGCAAGTCTAAATAACTTCAGGAGTGAAAATGTGCTTAACAAGTCACATAATAAGTTGCATGGACCTCATCTCTGTACCCCATACATACAATTATCTGTAAGGTCCCTCAGTCGAGCAGTGAATTTCAAACACATATTCAATCACAGAGACCAGGGAGGTTTTCCAATATCTCGCAAAGAAGGGCACCTATTGGTAGATGGGTCAAAAACAGAACAGAAATTGAATATCCCTTTGAGCATGGTGAAATTATGAATTACAATTTGGATGGTGTATCAATACACCCAATCACTACAAAGATACAGGCATCCTTCCTAACTCAGTTGCCGGAGAGGAAGGAAACCACTCAGGGATTTCACCATGAGGCCTATGGTGACTTTAAAATGTAATGGCTGTGATAGGAGAAAACTAAGGATGGATCAACAACATTGCAGTTACTCCACAATACTAACCTAAATTACAGAGTGAAAAGAAGGAAGCCTTTACAGAATAAAAAATATTCCAAAACTGCAAAAAATGTGGCAAAGAAATTAACTTTATGTCATGAAAACAAAGCGTTATGTTTGAGCCAAATCCAACACAACACATCACTGAGTACCACTCTTCATATTTTCAAGCATGGTGGTGGCTGCCTCATGTTATGGGTATGCTTGTCATCGGCAAGGACTAGGGAGTTCTTTAGGATAAAAAGAAAAGGAATAGAGCTAAGCACAGGCAAAATCCTAAAGGAAAACCTGCTTCAGTCTGCTTTGCAACAGACACTGGGAGACAAATTCACCAGCAGGACAATAACCTAAAACACAAGGCCAAATATACACTGGAGTTGCTTACCAAGACGACATTGAATGTTCCTGAGTGGCCTAGATACAGTTTGGACTAAAATGGCTGTCTAACAATGATCAACAACCAACTTGACAGAGCTTGAAGAATCAAAAAATAAATAATGTGCAAATATTGTACAATCCAGGTGCGCAAAGGTCTTAGAGACTTACCCAGAAAGACTCACAGCTGTAATTGCTACCAAAGTTGATTCTAACATGTATTGACTCAGGGGTGTGAATACTTATATAAATGAGATTTCTGTATTTCATTTTCAATAAATTTGCTAACATTTCTAAAAACATGTTTTCACTTTGTCATTATGGGGTATTGTGTGTAGATGGGTGAGGATTTTTTTTTTTCAATTGATTTTGAATTCAGGCTGTAACACAACAAAATGTGGAATAAGTCAAGGGGTATGAATACTTTGTGAAGGCACCTTATATCTCCATGTCCTGGTCGGTGGTGCTATGTGGTGGCATGCATGATGCACATTAGCTTTGACTAATGGTTGCATTATTAATGATGCGACAATTTACTATTGTCTGTGTACATGCTGTCAACAACATGCTGTCAACAACAAGATGGCCGAGTACCTGTTTGACAAGCACACCCTGGGAGGCCAGAGCTAAACCATGTCCAGGCTACAGCCTGGCTTTTCTGCTCTATCCTGCTGCCTTTGCATCTATAAGGAGGAGAGAGTGTTGAACTGGTACAGAGCAATACAGCTGTTAAATTTGACAACCCTGTACTAGGTTTGGGAGGCAAGGCATGTTGTGAAACTAATTAGTAAAAAGATCACAAAAGTATTGCTGTGGAGTAATGGATGTTGTATCAGTTTATGCTGGTTTGCTTACTGAGCAGCTCAATGCCCAACACAAGGGCCCCATGTAGCTCAGTTGGTAGAGCATGGCGCTTGCAACGCCAGGGTTGTGGGTTCGTTTCCCACGGGGGGCCAGTATGAAAAAATTTATGCACTCACTAACTGTAAGTCACTCTGGATAAGAGCGTCTGCTAAATGACTAAAATGTAAATGTACATCTGACAAATAATGACTAGTGGGTAAATAACCTGTGTGTTGGGCTGTACAGTACAACCCCTGTGTTCCCTTAAAGTATGTGTTCAGGGTTTCCAGATTTCTCTGAAATATGACCTATAATTAATTACAATATCAGTTAAATAGTTTTCCTTCCCAGAAATGGAAATAAAGTACATTTAAAAAGCAGCTTTTCTGTGTTTGAGTGGTGTGGGCATATTACTGATTGTTAAAGATATTCATAAAAAGTCATGCAAAAATGGCCAGCTTTCTGCCACTCCCTTCTGGCTAGTTTAGTCAGGCAGCTGAAGATAATTGGCCAGCTCAGCCATTGAGCCAATGTGACTCACGTTAAATGAGGAAATGTATGCTTTGGCCACAAATACTCATTTATGCTTTGGCCACAAAACGAGAATAGGGCGAGTCAACAACATTATTTGGGTATGAGTTTTTAAAAGTGAGATTTTCACTGGACAGTTATATTAAGGCTTCCAAAACTCGTTAGTGGTCCAAATCAGAACATACATACTAAAAGAGTATCATATTACATGCAAGTCATACAATACAAGCCATTAGAATGGCTGGAGTAATAATAGTTATAATATGAAATAATAGTAGCTGTTTATCAATAAAGTTTAGTAATATTATATAGTAAATAATAGTCATATGCTGTGTAACACTACTGGGTTAAAGGGTAAAGCAGTTTCCAGACCTGGGTTCAAATACTATTTGAAATCATTTACCAAGGTTGCCTGGCTTAATGGACCAATAGAATAGTCCAAAAACTGCAAACCCTGCCCATCTAGCACTCCAGGTAGGCTAGAGCAAACACTGAAAGTATTTAAACGATTTCAAATAGTATTTGAACCCAGGTCTGACAGTTCGTTGGAACTCAGGATCTTCAGATGAGTCACAGATAGCTATCAGTAATCAAGTAACTCTTGTGTTGGTTTATGTCCAAGGATGTGGCCACTAAGTCAATGGTTTTAAGCCATGGCCAAGTCAATGGTTTTAGGCACTGGGAAATAGTTGCAGGTCAAACAGGGTTTCTCAACACAGAGAATAGGGGTGTGACCAGGTAACCCAGCAAACCTGATGGTAGCAGAACCAGGAGGAAAACAACAACAACAAAAATATACTAGAAAAAAGGGTTCCAAAAGGGTTCTTCAGCTGTCCCCATTTAGGAGTATCCTTTTTGGTTCCAGGTCGAACCCTTTTGGCCCTCTGTGGAAAGGGTTCTACATGGAACCCAAAAGGGGTTCTTCAAAGGGTTATTCTATGGGGACAGCCGAAGAACCCTTTTAGGTTATAGATAGCAACTTTTTTCTAAGAGCGTAGGAACAATACCTGCACAATACCTAAACAAGGGTAAAGTTTCTGTTGTGACTTTTCACGTCAGGTGTGACGTCTCCAACAGGCTATAAAAGCCCCTTTTCTTAACGTTTGGGTGTCTGTTTTGTTTTCCTTTCCTCCTGGTTCTGGTCCCGGTGGATTGGGTTGCATGGAGAAACGGCTTGGGCCCTATCTCAAGGGCCCCTAGGGGCCCTCTCGGGTCAGTGGCCTACTGCTTGAGGGCTATTTCGGGCTCCCTTGGGGCCACAAGGGTCCCCTGGTGTTAATTCCTTCCTGGGCCCCTTAATTATTTACCAGAAGGCCATTATTAGGACACACCACACCTGATCTTCCAGCTCCGAATCCATGGCTCTTGGCTAGCTAGTAGCGGAGAGGAGTCCATAAACTCCAGATGCTGCCCTGTCTGGATCTTCCAGAAAATGAGATACACGAAGCAAAGAGAGAGACAGAGAGAGACTAGTCTGAACTAAGTAAGAACCCCAGCAACACAATTAGTTTATTGTCATAACATGCCAGAGCTTCAATTCAATGACAGAGTTGCAAGGGAAGAGAACAGAGAGAGAGAGAGAGAAAGAGAGAGAGAGACAGAGAGAGAGAGAGAAAGAGAGAGAGCACTTACAAATTCACTCTGTAAGGGTTAAATCAACACTCATTGGTGTAAAAAAATCCCAGTGTTGGTTTTAATAACCAGTGTTAAACCAAAACCAAGCCCACCATTATCATATTTCCCAGCATGCTCTATTGCAGGTAGAGTTTTAGAATTGTTTCTATATCTATGTTTTTTGCATGTTATCCAATCTGTAACTTGGACTCTCGCACCTGTTACTGAAATGGTTGTTCCAGTTAAGATGGTTTAGGTAGTCTCATATCTTAATCTTCTTAACCCGGCAGTCAATCTGAATGAAGGTTGCAGGTGAATAAAAATCCCAAATGTTGGATATCCCCAAGCAAGTATAATGTGGCTTGCAGGCCTGATGTGGCCTGTAAACCATGAGTTTCAGGTTACTGTATTAGGGTAAAACTAAGGCCTTATGAAATATGTGTTGTATTGTGTTAAATAATTAAATTTGAATGATAACATATTCACTTAGGATCAACTTGGTGAAGGCCACAGACTTGAAAATTGATGAACGCAACAACCATGTTTCTGTCACTAACAAATACAGTCATGGGTGGTAACTCTACACTTCACTTGAAAGGCAAGGCACTGGGAAATATGCAAATAAGGCTTTACACTAAGCAGTGTGTTAATTCAACACTGAAAAGTGTGGACCCGTATAGACACTGGACCAGTGTTAAATGTAACACTGTCAGTGTTGATTTAACACTAGAGAATTTGCTGTAGAAAATGTCATGCAACCATGCATCAGTGCTTCCTTGCATCATGCAAAGCCATTAAGCCAAGCAACCTTCTCAGAAGAACAAGTTGAGATGGCCTGACTTAACTGTACATTGTGGAATGTACTGTAGTATAGTTTTGCATTACGTCATTGTAGATAGGCAAAGGGAGAGAGAAGGAATGCAAATATAACTACATGGCAGAATGTATTATATATCCATATTATGAGGTATAGTGTGCTATATAGTGGGAAGTATATCAACATATAATAGCATATACTGCTGTAATGTAAGTAATTATAGTGTAATGTATGTTAGTAATACTAAGTATATATATATACAGTATATCAAGAAAGTATGGATTGGGGTTTATAGTATGTTGCAGTGTGTACTAGTGTATTTTAGTACCAAATACTGGGTGTATGTATGTGTGTATGAAAATAAATGTGTTATTGTGGGGATCCAACATATACTGTTATTACAGCACACCTGTTTGAAGGGTGGGTTGTATAGTGTACTGTAGTGTGTATTAGGGTAGTGCGATGTATATCAGTTTGGTGTTGGTGTGTATTGTAATATCCAGACAGGACCGGTGGTATATTCCTATGTGGCCTCCTCTATCTTCTCCTCCTCGGCTGCTGCTGGTGCTGGCTCCTCCTCCTTTTCCGCCTCTTCCACCTATTCTGCCTCTTCAACCTTCTCTTTCTCTACAGCTGTGGCTGCCTCTGGCTCTGCCTCCTCTGGCTGTGCCTCTACTTCTGCCTTCTCTTCCTCTACCTCTGCTGCTGCTGGCGTACTCTCGATCTCCGGTGCGGCGGCCGCACTCTCAGCTGGCGTCTCCACAGCGGCGGTGCATTGCTCGCTCAGGGAGGTTGCCAGGTAGCCCACCAGGTTCATGTACTCCTCGAAGTTGACTTTACCGTCCTGGTTGGCGTCCAGGCCCTGTCGCATTTTCTTCACCGCCTCGGAGCTGTCCGTGTCCTGGGTACAGAGTAGATACAGAGACGGGCAGACATGACTCAGAGGTGACCTCAGTAGTAACTGACCCCTTACATCACAAGGTGCAGTACTGTTTTGTGCAGCATGATTAATAGATAGACCTTGATTTAACCCAGTTTAAGAGTTCATTCATGTTTGTGCAACCCACCCTATTTTATATGTTAGTCTGTAGGGTCTCCTATCCTATTCCGGAGGGTTGCCAGTTTGAATCCCGGGTCTCCCGGGACAAACCTGGCGGGAAGTGAGCTGGCATTAAATCCTAGACACCATTGCCTGCTGTTGTGCCCTTGAGCAAGGCACTTAACCCCCCACAACAACTGCTACCGGGCGCTCAGTGTGGCAGTCCCCTTCTCCAACCTGTATATGTACAGTGGGGTGTGAATTTATTGACACCCTTGATAAATATGAGCAAATATAAAATCAATAATACTGAGCTATATAGTACGCTCCCAAAAATTTGGAAATGTGATTATTTTATGCTAATACAATTGCTCAGAGAAAGAGATTTTGTTTAACAAGTAATATTTTTTTTTTCAAAAAGGTAGGGGTCAAAATTATTGACACCCCTAAAGATTCTTATAAATAAAGTGGCCAAAAGTTTAGTATTTGATCCCATATTCCCAGGACGCAATGACTACATCAGCGGTTCCCAAACTAGGGATTGCGACCCCATGTGGGTCACCTGATATGAAAATGTGTTCGCGGGAGAATTTCCAAAATCCTGAAAAAATTAAAATATACTATATATATATAAAATCAGCAAAAAAAGAAATGTCCCATTTTCAGGACCCTGTCTTTCAAAGATAATTTGTAGAAATCCAAATAACTTCACAGATCTTCATTGTAAAGGATTTAAACACTGTTTCTCATGCTTGTTCATTGAACCATAAACAATTAATGAACATGCACCTGTGGAACGGTCGTTAAGACACTAAAAGCTTACAGACGGTAGGCAAATAAGGTCACAGTTATGAAAACTTAGGACACTAAAGAGGCCTTTCTACTGACTCTTTACAAACAAAAGATAGATGCCCAGGGTCCCTGCTCATCTGCGTGAACGTGCCTTAGGCATGCTGCAAGGAGGCATGAGGACTGCAGATGTGGCCAGGGCAAACAATTGCAATGTCAGTACTGTGAGACGCCTAAGACAGAGCTACAGGGAGACAGGATGGACAGCTGATCGTCCTCGCAGTGGCAGACCACGTGTAACAACACCTGCACAGGATTGGTACATCCGAACATCACACCTGCGGGACAGGTACAAGATGGCAACAACAACTGCCCGAGTTACACCAGGAACGCACAATCTGTCAATCAGTGCTCAGACTGTCCGCAATAGGCTGAGAGGGGCTGGACTGAGGGCTTGTAGGCCTGTTGTAAGGCATGTCCTCACCAGACATCACCGGCAACAACGTCGCCTATGGGCACAAACCCACCGTCGCTGGACCAGACAGGACTGGCAAAAAGTGCTCTTCACTGACGAGTCGCAGTTTTGTCTCACCAGGGGTGATGGTCAGATTCGCGTTTATCGTCAAAGGAATGAGCGTCACACCGAGGCCTGTACTCTGGAGCGGGATTGATTTGGAGGTGGAGGGTCCGTCATGGTTTGGGGTGGTGTGTCACAGCATCATCGGACTGAGCTTGTTGTCATTGCAGGCAATCTCAACACTGTGCGTTACAGGGAAGACATCCTCCTCCCTCATGTGGTACCCTTCCTGCAGGCTCATCCTGACATGACCCTCCAGCATGACAATGCCACCAGCCATACTGCTCGTTCTGTGCGTGATTTCCTGCAAGACAGGAATGTCAGTGTTCTGCCATGGCCAGCGAAGAGCCCGGATCTCAATCCCATTGAGCACGTCTGGGACCTGTTGGATCGGAGGGTGAGGGCTAGGGTCATTCCCCCCAGAAATGTCCGGGAACTTGCAGGTGCCTTGGTGGAAGAGTGGGGTAACATCTTACAGCAAGAACTGGCAAATCTGGTGCAGTCCATGAGGAGGAGATGCACTGCAGTACTTAATGCAGCTGGTGGACACACCAGATACTGACTGTTCAGGGACACATTATTCAATTTCTGTTAGTCACATGTCTGTGGAACTTGTTCGGTTTATGTCTCAGTTGTTGAATCTTGTTATGTTCATACAAATATTTACACATGTTAAGTTTGCTGAAAACAAATGCAGTTTACAGTGAGAGGACGTTTCTTTTTTTGCTGAGTTTATATACGCTACCAGTCAAAGGTTTGGACACCTACTCATTCAAGGGTTTTTCTTTATTTTTACTATTGTTTACATTGTAGAATAATAGCGAAGACATCAAAACTATGAAATAACACATAAGGAATCATGTAGTAACCAAAAAAGTGTTAAACAAATCAAAATATATTTAATATTTGAGATTCTTCAAATAGCCACCCTTTGTCTTGACAACAGCTTTGCACACTCTTGGTATTCTCTCAACCAGCTTCATGAGGTAGTCACTTGGAATGCATTTCAATTAACTGTTGTGCCTTCTTAAAAGTTAATTTGTGGAATTTCTTTCCTTCTTAATGCATTTGAGACAATCAGTTGTGTTGTGACAAGGTATACATAAGATAGCCCTATTTGGTAAAAGACCAAGTCCATATTATGGCAAGAACAGCTCAAATAAGCAAAGAGAAACAACAGTCCATCATTACTTTAAGACATGAAGGTCAGTCAATACGGAACATTTAAAGTACTTTGAAAGTTCTGTCGCAAAAATCATCAAGCGCTATGATGAAACTGGCTCTCATGAGGACCGCCATAGGAATGGAAGACCCAGAGTTACCTCTACTGCAGAGGATAAGTTCATTAGAGTTACCAGCCTCAGAAATTGCAGCACAAATAAATGCTTCACAGAGGTCAAGTCACAGACACATCTCAACATCAACTGTTTAGAGGGGACTGTGTGAATCAGGCCTTCATGGTCGAATTGCTGCAAAGAAACCACTACTAAAGGACACCAATTAAGAAGAAGAGACCTGCTTGGGCCAAGAAACACGAGCAATGGACATTAGACCGGTGGAAATGTGTCCTTTGGTCTGGAGTCCAAATTGAATAATTTTGGTTCCAACCGCTGTGTCTTTGTGAGACGCGGTGTGGGTGAATGGATGATCTCCGCATGTGTAGTTCCCACCGTAAAGCATGGAGGAGGAGGTGTTATGGTGTGGGGGTGCTTTGCTGCACACTTAACCAGCATGGCTACCACAGCATTCTGCAGCGATACGCCACCCCATCTGGTTTGAGCTTAGTGGGACTATCGTTTGTTTTTCAACAGGACAATGACCCAACACACCTCCAGGCTGTGTAAGGGCTATTTGACCAAGAAGGAGAGTGATGGAGTGCTGCATCAGATGACCTGGCCTCCACAATCCTCCGACCTCAACCCAATTGAGATGTTTTGGGATGAGTCGGACGGCAGAGTGAAGGAAAAGCAGCCAACAAGTGCTCACCATATGTGGGAACTCCTTCAAGACTGTTGGAAAAGCATTCCAGGTGAAGCTGGTTTTTGGGTTATTTCATAGTTTTGATGTCTTCACTATTATTCTACAATATAAAAAATTAAGAAAAACCCTTGAATGAGTAGGTGTGTCCAAACTTTTGACTGGTACTGTATATATATTATATACTGAAAAAATATATAAATGCAACATGCAACAATTTCTACGATTTTACTGAGTTACAGTTCATATAAGGAAATCAGTCAATTGAAATAAATTCATTAGGCCCTAATCTATGGATTTCACATGATTGGGCAGGGACGCAGCTATGGGTGGGCCTAGGAGGGCATAGGCCCATCCTCTTGGGAGCCAGGCCCACCCACAGGGGAGCCAGGCCCAGCCAATCAAAATGAGTTTTTTCCCAACAAAAGGGCTTTATTACAGACAGAAATACTCCTCAGTTTCATCAACTGTCCGGGTGGCTGGTCTCAGATGATCCCGCAGGTGAAGTAGCCGGATGTGGAGGTCCTGGGCTGGCGTGGTTATACGTGGTCTGCTGTTGTGAGGCCGGTTGGATGTACTGCCAAAATCTCTAAAACAACTTTATGGTTTATGGTAGAGAAATTAAAATGTAATTATCTGGCAACAGCTCTGGTGGACATTCCTGCAGTCATCTCCTGTAAGTCGCTCTGGATAAGAGCGTCTGCTAAATGACAAAAAAAAAAAAAAAAAAAAAAAAAAAATCCTCTGGTTTCACACTCCCTCAAAACATGAGACATCTGTGGCATTGTGTTGTGTGACAAAACTAACTTTTATTGTCCCCAGCACAAGGTGCACCTGTGTAATGATCATGCTGTTTAACCTCTACGGGATCGGTGTCCCGAATATAGGACAGTTGAGCTAACATGCGCTAATGTGATTAGCATGACCGTTGTAAGTAACAGCAAACTTTCCAGGACATATACTTGTCTTGTATGGGCAGAAAGCTTAACTTCTTGTTAATCTAACTGCGCTTTCCAATTTACAGTAGCTATTACAGTGAAAAAAGACCATGCAATTGTTTGAGGAGAGTGCACAACAACAAAAAATGTTTCACGGCAAATGGCTTGATACATTCACCTCTGAAGGTAAATAATGTACTTACATTCAGTAATCTTGCTCTGATTTGTCATCCTAAAGGTCCCAGAGATAAAATGTAGCATAGTTTGTTTGATAAAATCAATTTTTATATTTAAATGTGGGAACTGGGTTCTACAGTTTGAACCCCTGCTGTCTCTGGCTCCACACCACCCCGCCCGGCCATCTAGATGTGTGAAAGTTAGTGTATAAGCTAATCATTCCTGGGAGTGTGTAAACTTACATTTTGTATTACCATATCATTTTTGTATGTTCTCTATAGTTATGTACTTTAACATGTATCAATTGCCCAATTCGGCACATTTGGGCAGACTTGATAAAAAATAGTCCACTATTGCAATGCTTCACTGGATCAATCTGAAACTTTGCACACACACTGCAATATTATATTGTGGCCTTTCTCTTCCATTTCAAAGATGATGGAAAAAAAAAAAAAAAAATAAAAATTTTGTTTGTATTATCTTTTACCAGATCTAATGTGTTATATTCTCCTACATTAATTTCACATTTCCACAAACTTCAAAGTGTTTCCTTTCAAATGGTATCAAGAATATCCTTGCTTCAGGTCCTGAGCTGCATGCAGTTAGATTTGGGTATGTCATTTTAGGCGAAAATTGAAAAAAATTGTCCGATCCTTAAGAGGTTAATCAGCTTCTTGATATGCAACACCTGTCAAGTGGATGGATTATCTTGACAAAGGAGATATTCTCTCTAACAGGGTTGTAAACAAATTTGTGCACAACTTTTTAGAGAAATAAGCTTTTTGTGCGTATGGAACATTTCGGGGATCTTTTATTTAAACTCATGAAACATGGGACCAACACCTTACATGTTGCGTTTATATTTTTGTTCAGTATAATATTGTCTTTGTATCTCAAAATATGTTGTATTGTGGTTAACTTGAAAAATCGAAATGAAAATTATTCAAATATAAAATATAAAATTAAACCAGAGAGCGCCCTTCAATCATGGGGAAAGGCTGCACTTGACCGTTGCACTTAAATCATTCCCATGGTGAATGGCTGGGCCAGCTACGCTATGAAACCACACACTATTGCTGAGACTTTGATATTACCAGCCGCAACTGATATGGTGAAAACAATGTGTGGGGAGGCAGAGGCACAGAATCTCACATCAATACCTTTGTCAGATAACATTGTTAAACGAAGAATGTATGCTATTGCTAGCAAGATGAAACTGACTGAACAACTCAAAAACTCCCAGCTTACCCAATTGAGATGGTTTGGGATGAGTCAGACTGCAGAGTGAAGGAAAAGCAGCCAACAAGTGCTCAGCATATGTGGGAACTCCTTCAAGACTGTTGGAAAAGCATTCCAGGTGAAGCTGGTTGTGAGAATGCCAAGAGTGTGCAAAGCTGTCATCAAGGCAAAGGATGGCTATTTGAAGAATTTGTTTACATGATTCCACGTGTTATTTCTTAGTTTTGGTGTCTTCACTATTATTCTACAATGTAAAAAATAGAAAAAATAAAGAAAAACCCTTGAATGAGTAGGTGTGTCCAAACTTTTGATTGGTAGTGTATATATACAGTGGGGAGAACAAGTATTTGATACACTGCTGATTTTGCAGGTTTTCCTACTTACAAAGCATGTAGAGGTCTGTAATTTTTATCATAGGTACACTTCAACTGTGAGAGACGGAATCTAAAACAAAAATCCAGAAAATCACATTGTATGATTTGTAAGTAATTAATTTGCATTTTATTGCATGACATAAGTATTTGATACATCAGAAAAGCAGAACATAATATTTGGTACAGAAACCTTTGTTTGCAATTACAGAGATCATACGTTTCCTGTAGGTCTTGACCAGGTTTGCACACACCGCAGCAGGGATTTTGGCCCACTCCTCCATACAGACCTTCTCCAGATCCTTCAGGTTTCGGGGCAATAAGGACTTCCAGCTCCCTCCAAAGATGTTCTATTGGGTTCAGGTCTGGAGATTGGCTAGGCCACTCCAGGACCTTGAGATGCTTCTTACGGAGCCACTCCTTAGTTGCCCTGGCTGTGTGGTTCGGGTCGTTGTCATGCTGGAAGACCCAGCCACGATCCATCTTCAATGCTCTTACTGAGGGAAGGAGGTTGTTGGCCAAGATCTCGCGATACATGGCCCCATCCATCCTCCCCTCAATATGGTGCAGTCGTCCTGTCCCCTTTGCAGAAAAGCATCCCCAAAGAATGATGTTTCCACCTCCATGCTTCACGGTTGGGATGGTGTTCTTGGGGTTGTACTCATCTTCTTCCTCCAAACAAGGCGAGTGGAGTTTAGACCAAAAAGCTCTATTTTTGTCTCATCAGACCACATGACCTTCTCCCATTCCTCTTCTGGATCTTCCAGATGGTCATTGGCAAACTTCAGACGGGCCTGGACATGCGCTGGCTTGAGCAGGGGGACCTTGCGTGCGCTGCAGGATTTTAATCCATGACGGCGTAGTGTGTTACTAATGGTTTTCTTTGAAACTGTGGTCCCAGCTCTCTTCAGGTCATTGACCAGGTCCTGTCATGTAGCTCTGGGCTGATCCCTCACCTTCCTCATGATCATTGATGCCCCACGAGGTGAGATCTTGCATGGAGCCCCAGACCGAGGGCGATTGACCATCATCTTGAACTTCTTCCATTTTATAATAATTGCGCCAACAGTTGTTGCCTTCTCACCAAGCTGCTTGCCTATTGTCCTGTAGCCCATCCCAGCCTTGTGCAGTTCTACAATTTTATCCCTGATGTCCTTACACAGCTCTCTGGTCTTGGCCATTGTGGAGAGGTTGGAGTCTGTTTGATTGAGTGTGTGGACAGGTGTCTTTTATACAGGTAACGAGTTCAAACAGGTGCAGTTAATACAGGTAATGAGTGGAGAACAGGAGGGCTTCTTAAAGAAAAACGAACAGGTCTGTGAGAGCCGGAATTCTTACTGGTTGGTAGGTGATCAAATACTTATGTCATGCAATAAAATGCAAATTAATTATTTAAAATTCATACAATATGATTTTCTGGATTTTTGTCTCTCACAGTTGAAGTGTACCTATGATAAAAATTACAGACCTCTACATGCTTTGTAAGTAGGAAAACCTGCAAAATCGGCAGTGTATCAAATACTTGTTCTCCCCACTGTATATATATATATATATATATATATATATATATATATATATATATATACACTGCTCAAAAAATAAAGGGAACACTTAAAAACACAATGTAACTCCAAGTCAATCACACTTCTGTGAAATCAAACTGTCCACTTAGGAAGCAACACTGATTGACAATACATTTCACATGCTGTTGTGCAAATGGAATAGACAACAGGTGGAAATTATAGGCAATTAGCAAGACACCCCCAATAAAGAAGTGGTTCTGCAGGTGGTGACCACAGACCACTTCTCAGTTCCTATGCTTCCTGGCTGATGTTTTGGTCACTTTTGAATGCTGGCGGTGCTTTCACTCTAGTGGTAGCATGAGACAGAGTCTACAACCCACACAAGTGGCTCAGGTAGTGCAGCTCATCCAGGATGGCACATCAATGCGAGCTGTGGCAAGAAGGTTTGCTGTGTCTGTCAGCGTAGTGTCCAGAGCATGGAGGCGCTACCAGGAGACAGGCCAGTACATCAGGAGACGTGGAGGAGGCCATAGGAGGGCAACAACCCAGCAGCAGGACCGCTACCTCCGCCTTTGTGCAAGGAGCACTGCCAGAGCCCTGCAAAATGACCTCCAGCAGGCCACAAATGTGCATGTGTCTGCTCAAACAGTCAGAAACAGACTCCATGAGGGTGGTATGAGGGCCCGACGTCCACAGGTGGGGGTTGTGCTTAGAGCCCAACACCGTGCAGGACGTTTGGCATTTGCCAGAGAACACCAAGATTGGCAAATTCGCCACTGGCGCCCTGTGCTCTTCACAGGTGAAAGCAGGTTCACATTGAGCACATGTGACAGACGTGACAGAGTCTGGAGACGCCGTGGAGAACGTTCTGCTGCCTGCAACATCCTCCAGCATGACCGGTTTGGCGGTGGGTCAGTCATGGTGTGGGGTGGCATTTCTTTGGGGGGCCGCACAGTCCTCCATGTGCTCGCCAGAGGTAGTCTGACTGCCATTAGGTACCGAGATGAGATCCTCAGACCCCTTGTGAGACCATATGCTGGTGCGGTTGGCCCTGGGTTCCTCCTAATGCAAGACAATGCTAGACCTCATGTGGCTGGAGTGTGTCAGCAGTTCCTGCAAGAGGAAGGCATTGATGCTATGGACTGGCCCGCCCGTTCCCCAGACCTGAATCCAATTGAGCACATCTGGGACATCATGTCTCGCTCCATCCACCAACGCCACGTTGCACCACAGACTGTCCAGGAGTTGGCGGATGCTTTAGTCCAGGTCTGGGAGGAGATCCCTCAGGAGACCATCCGTCACCTCATCAGGAGCATGCCCAGGCGTTGTAGGGAGGTCATACAGGCATGTGGAGGCCACACACTCTACTGAGCCTCATTTTGACTTGTTTTAAGGACATTACATCAAAGTTGGATCAGCCTGTAGTGTGGTTTTCCACTTAAATTTTGAGGGTGACTCCAAATCCAGACCTCCATGGGTTGATGAATTTGATTTCCATTGATAATTTGTGTGTGATTTTGTTGTCAGCACATTCAACTATGTAAAGAAAAAAGTATTTAATAAGATTATTTCATTCATTCAGATCTAGGATGTGTTGTTTAAGTGTTCACTTTATTTTTTTGAGCAGTGTATATATATATATATTTTTAGTTTTAAAAAATGTGGGTATGTATTCCTTTATTATGTTCCCCTAACCCTACCACCCCTCCCCTAATTGGAGTAAACTAATCGACAACAACACTTAGGCTTCTACTTCTAGCTTATACATACTACATACATTTTATGGACACAGTATATTTTACAATAGTTATCTTTGTTTGTTTTTAGTCCCATCCTTCAGCTCCACTCAACCCCTCCCATCTATCTCTGAACACCATCCAGTTTTTATTTTTATTTGCCATATATTTTTCAACTGTGCTATGATGTTTCACAACAGTTCTGAACCTTTCTATTCTCATAGGTTGTACATATTGTAAATTAAAGATAAACATTTTTGCTAAGAGTATTATTATATTATTGATCAATTGACTATGACTTATTAAATCACCCAGCAGTGCTATTTGCAGAGTTAGCTCCAGGTAAATGTTGCAATGCTTCAGCCATTTCTGGACCTGTGACCAAAAACATACTGCATATGGACAGTACCAAAACAAATGATCTAATGATTATGTGTCTTCGCAGCAAAATCTGCAGAGCTGGGATGGTTGTATTGCTCATATATATAACATTTTATTGGTTGCAAGAAGAGTCACAAGCTTGATGTAGTCATTGGAATATGGGACCAAATACTAAACATTTGACTACTTTATTTATAAGAATCTTTAGAGGTCAATCATTTTGATCCCTACCTTTTTGAGAAAACATTTTATTACTTGTTAAACAAAATCTCTTTCTCTGAGCAATTGAATTAGTATAAAATGATTTAATTCCCCATTTCTTAGAGCATACAATACAGCTCAGCATTTGAATTATTTATTTTATACAGTCATCATTGCTCATCTTTATCAAGGGTGACAATAATTTCGGACCCCACTGTATGTGTGTATTCCGGAGGGGTTAGGATAAAGCAGACGTACAATTGACAAATAAAGTGATCTTAATCTTAACAACTATAGCTCAGTCAAAGAGTTCCAAAAGTTGTAGTGTTAATAGCTGGTTTATAACTTCATTTGAGTGACATCAGCCATGGTGCGTGTGGAGGCTGCTGTCTGACTGACCATCATGATGTTGTGGAGCTGGCTCTTCACTAGCTTCTGGAAGTCATTCCCTCCCAAACTCTCCTTCCCCTTGGCTGACTTCAGGAAGACACCCACTATCGTCTGAATGGCCGACTCCATGACTGCTCTCTCTCTCTCTGCCCCGAGATAGAGGGGTAGGGTGTGGTAAGATTTTTTTGACAGGGTGGTTGGGGGAAAGGGGGTAGAGGAAGCAGGTGAGAGAGAGATAGAGAGAGAGAGAGAGAGAGAGAGAATGTGAGATATTGATTGAGTTACACAGGCAATGCACATTTGACATAGAGTGCATTCGGAAAGTATTCAGACCCCTTGACTTTTTACACATTTTGTTACGTTACAGCCTTACCTTAATCGGTTTTTTTCCCTCATCAATCTACACACAATACCCCATAATGACAAAGCAAAAAGTTTTATTTTTGTTGTTGCAAAAAAAGAAATATTTCATTTACATAAGTATTCAGACCCTTTACTCAGTACTTTGTTGAAGCACCTTTGGCAGCGATTACAGCCTCATTTGGGGAGTTTCTCCCATTCATCTCTCCAGATCCTCTAAAGCTCTGTCAGGTTGGATGGGAGCGTCGCTGCACAGCTATTTTCAGGTCTCTCCAGAGATGTTCGATCGGGTTCAAGTCCGGGCTCTGGCTGGGCCACTCAAGGACATTCAGAGACTTGTCCCGAAGCCACTCCTGCTGTGTGCTTAGGGTCATTGTTCTGTTGTAAGGTGAACCTTCACCCCAGTCTGAGGTCCTGAGCGCTCTGGAGCAGGTTTTCATTAAGGATTTTCTGTACTTTGCTCCGTTCATCTTTCCCTCGATCCTGATCCTGACTAGTCTCCCAGTCCCTGTCGCTGAAAAACATCCCCATAGCATGATGCTGCCACCACCATGCTTCACCGTAGGGATGGTGCCAGGTTTCCTCCAGATCTTGGTTTCATCAGACCAGAGAATCTTGTTTTCTCATGGTCTGAGAGTCCTTTAGCTGCCATTGGCAAACTCCAAGTGGGCTGTCATGTGCCTTTTATTAAGGAGTGGCTTCCGTCTGGCCACTCTACCATAAAGGCCTGATTGGTGGAGTGCTGCAGAGATGGTTGTCCTTCTGGAAGGTTCTCCCATCTCCACATAGGAACTCTGGAGCTCTGTCAGAGTGACCATCGGGTTCTTGGTCACCTCCCTGACCAAGGCCCTTCTCCCCCGATTGCTCAGTTTGGCCGGGCGGCCGGCTCTAGGAAGAGTCTTGGTGGTTCCAAACTTCTTCTATTTAAGAATGATGGAGGCCACTGTGTGATCTTGGGGACCTTCAATGCTGTAGACATTTTTTGGTACCCTTCCCCAGATCTGTGCCTCGACACAATCCTGTCTCAGAGCTCTACGGACAATTCCTTCGACCTCATGGTTTGGTTTTTGCTCTGACATGCACTGTCAATTGTGGGACCTTATATACAGTGGGGGAAAAAAGTATTTAGTCAGCCACCAATTGTGCAAGTTCTCCCACTTAAAAAGATGAGAGAGGCCTGTAATTTTCATCATAGGTACACGTCAACTATGACAGACAAATTGAGAAAAAAAATCCTGAAAATCACATTGTAGGATTTTTAATGAATTTATTTGCAAATTATGGTGGAAAATAAGTATTTGGTCACCTACAAACAAGCAAGATTTCTGGCTCTCACAGACCTGTAACTTCTTCTTTAAGAGGCTCCTCTGTCCTCCACTCGTTACCTGTATTAATGGCACCTGTTTGAACTTGTTATCAGTATAAAAGACACCTGTCCACAACCTCAAACAGTCACACTCCAAACTCCACTATGGCCAAGACCAAAGAGGTGTCAAAGGACACCAGAAACAAAATTGTAGACCTGCACCAGGCTGGGAAGACTGAATCTGCAATAGGTAAGCAGCTTGGTTTGAAGAAATCAACTGTGGGAGCAATTATTAGGAAATGGAAGACATACAAGACCACTGATAATCTCCCTCGATCTGGGGCTCCACGCAGGATCTTACCCCGTGGGGTCAAAATGATCACAAGAACGGTGAGCAAAAATCCCAGAACCACACGGGGGGACCTAGTGAATGACCTGCAGAGAGCTGGGACCAAAGTAACAAAGCCTACAATCAGTAACACACTACGCCGCCGGGAACTCAAATCCTGCAGTGCCAGACGTGTCCCCCTGCTTAAGCCAGTACATGTCCAGGCCCGTCTGAAGTTTGCTAGAGTGCATTTGGATGATCCAGAAGAGGATTGGGAGAATGTCATATGGTCAGATGAAACCAAAATATAACTTTTTGGTAAAAACTCAACTCGTCGTGTTTGGAGGACAAAGAATGCTGAGTTGCATCCAAAGAACACCATACCTACTGTGAAGCATGGGGGTGGAAACATCATGCTTTGGGGCTGTTTTTCTGCAAAGGGACCAGGACGACTGATCCGTGTAAAGGGAAGAATGAATGGGGCCATGTATCGTGAGATTTTGAGTGAAAACCTCCTTCCATCAGCAACGGCATTGAAGATGAAACGTGGCTGGGTCTTTCAGCATGACAATGATCCCAAACACACCGCCCGGGCAACGGAGTGGCTTCGTAAGAAGCATTTCAAGGTCCTGGAGTGGCGTAGCCAGTCTCCAGATCTCAACCCCATAGAAAATCTTTGGAGGGAGTTGAAAGTCCGTGTTGCCCAGCGACAGCCCCAAAAACATCACTGCTCTAGAGGAGATCTGCATGGAGGAATGGGCCAAAATACCAGCAACAGTGTGTGAAAACCTTGTGAAGACTTACAGAAAACGTTTGACCTGTGTCATTGCCAACAAAGGGTATATAACAAAGTATTGAGAAACTTTTGTTATTGACCAAATACTTATTTTCCACCATAATTTGCAAATAAATTCATAAAAAATCCTACAATGTGATTTTCTGGATTTTTGTTCCTCATTTTGTCTGTCATAGTTGACATGTACCTATGATGAAAATTACAGGCCTCTCTCATCTTTTTAAGTGGGAGAACTTGCACAATTGGTGGCTGACTAAATACTTTTTTCCCCACTGTAGACAGGTGTGTGCCTTTCCAAATCATGTCCAATCAATTGAATTTACCACAGGTGGACTCCAATCAAGTTGTAGAAACATCTCAAGGATGATAAATGGAAACAGGATGCACCTGAGCTCAATTTCGAGTGTCCTAGCAAAGGGTCTGAATACTTATGTAAATAAGGTATTTCTGCTTTTTATTTTTAATACATTGCAAAAATTTCTAAAAATGTGTTTTCGCTTTGCCATTATGGGGTATTGTGTGTAGATTGATGAGGAAACATTTTTATTTAATCTATTTTAGAATAAGGCTGTAACGTAACAAAATGTGGAAAAAGGAAAGGGGTCTGAATACTTTCTGAATGCACTGTAATTATTTTCGTGATCTAATTTAAGGAGACAAAGATAGGCCACCACAGTGGAAAAAGAAACAATGGATCTCCTTGAGATACACAGGCTTGTCGTTTCAGGTGTTCAGTCTGGAACTCCTTGGTAGGATAGGGTAGGCGATAGACAGGCGATGTGCAATAAACTAAAGAGGGTGTGAGAGAGTCTGACTGAGAGACAAGCGGTGATGCACAATGGAAGTTCTGATCTTTGATAGGTCATCTGATCTACTGAAGCCACCACAGGGCCAGGGCTTCAGATTACCTCAGGGATTACCTGCCCGTTCTCTACCTTCTTTCTTTCTCTCTCCCTCCACTCCCGGAGGACCTGAGCCCTAGGACCATGCCTCGGGACTACCTGGCCTGATGACTCCTTGCTGTCCCCAGTCCTCCTGGTTATGCTGCTGCTCCAGTTTCAACTCTTCTGCCTTTGGCTATGGAACCCTGACCTGTTCACCGGACGTGCTACCTTGTCCCTGACCTGCTGTTTTCAACTCTCTCTCTCTCTCTCTCTCTCTACCGCACCTGCTATTTCAACCTCTAAATGCCCGGTGAAAAAGCCAAGTGACATTTACTCCTGATGTACTGACCTGTTGCAACCTCTACAACCACTGTGATAATTATTTGACCGTGCTGGTCATCTATGAACGTTTGGCCTTAATGGCCTTGTACTGTTATAATCTCCACCCGGCACAGCCAGAAGGGGGCTGACCACCCCTCAGAGCCTGGTTCCTCTCTTGGTTTCTTCCTAGGTTTCTGCCTTTCTAGGGAGTTTTTCCTAGCCACCGTGCTTCTACATCTTTATTGCTTGCTGTTTGGGGTTTTAGGCTGGGTTTCTGTATAGCACTTTGTGACATCTGCTGATGTAAAAAGGGCTTCATAAATAAATGTGATTGATTGATCTATCTCTCTCTTGCACTCTCTCTCTCTCTCTCTCTCTCTCTCTCTCTCTCTCTATCTCTCTCTCTTTTGTTCTTTATCTGTCTCGCTCTGTCTCTTTATCTCTCTCTCTCTGTTGCCTCACACCCTTATGCACAGCACACACTCTCATGTGATTTCAAAAGGCATTTCAAGATTTTGTGAGGGACAGACATTTTACATAGTGAATATGTTAATGTGTGTGTGTGTGTGTGTGTGTGTGTGTTTGTGCGTGCATGCGTGTTAGTGTGTGTTGTATGCCCCTGAGTTTATATGTGAGTAATCCAGTTGTATGTACAGTACCAGTCAAAAGTTTGGACACATCTACTCATTCCAGGGTTTTTCTTTATTTTTTACTATTTTCTACATTGTAGAATAATAGTGAAGACATCAAAACTATGAAATAACACATATGGAATCATGTAGTAACACATTTTTTTTAAACAAATCAAAATATATTTTATATTTTAGATTCTTCAAAGTAGTCACCCTTTGCCTTGATGACAGCTTTGCACACTCTTGGCATTCTCTCAACCAGCTTCATGAGGAATGCTTTTCCAACAGTCTTGAAGGAGTTCCCACATATGCAGAGCACTTGTTGGCTGCTTTTCCTTCACTCTGCAGTCCAACTCATCCCAAACCATCTCAATTGGGTTGAGGTCGGGTGATTGTGGAGGCCAGGTCATCTGATGCAGCACTCCATCACTCTCCTTCTTGGTCAAATAGCCCTTACACAGCCTGGAGGTGTGTTTTGGGTCATTGTCCTGTTGAAAAACAA